GAAGTGTAAATTGCTTTCCATTACAGTGAGGTTAATTGGAATAGTAACTGGACCTCTTGCCTACCACGTATTTTCTCTAGCTTGCACATTTTGGCTTTAGATTTTGGACAGTTTGATGTCCTCTTCGTCTTCCTCATTTACCGTTTTGTTTTGTTGTTAATACCTGTATTCTCCTAGTTTGTAAGCTATTCAAGAAAATACTTGAAAAACAAAAACAATGGCAGTAACCTATCCCCTTAGAGTAATTTAAACTAGAGGTATGAAATTCATTGGATATCAGAGAGGATCCACCCGCTGATTTTAAATTGTTGAACTCCTTGCATTTGTGAGATCCCATTGTGCAGTTAATTTGTAAAATTTATACTTAACCTGCAGGGTTTTAGCAAATTGAGTCATTTATTTCAACTAAGTAATTACTGGCTATATAGTACCAGTAAAATGATAGAATTTGACCTTGTAGTGATTATAGTTTTTCTTTCTCTTGTAGGAAGCTAAATGAATGCCTCCTGTACAGTAAAATGTAATACAAACTTAGAACCTAGGCTAGTTGCTTTTAAAGTACTGTAGATAATATCCTGAAGTGTATGCAGTTGTGTGCAGCTACATTTAATAGGATTTGTGCTAATCCAGATAGAAACTAAAACTGTAGGCCTGCCTTGATTATCTTGCCTTAGAATTTGGTACCAGATCCCTTTGATACTACAATAATTTGAAAGTGAATTTAAGTGTGGTATCTCCTTTTTTGGGGGGGGGGATTTTTGCTATAGGGCACGTGCACTCGCCAGACAGACAGAGAGAGACATAGAGACAGAAAACGAGAAATCACCCCCCAGGGGGGATGGTCACGCTGCAATCCCTTCTCCTCCATTCTCCTCTTGGGATCTTGGGCACGCACGTACACACACACAGTGTGAGGTTAAGCCACTGGGCCCAGGGTTCGAACCGTGGTCGACTACATGGGAGTCCAGTGACATAGCCATTACGCCAACTGCTGGTTCCCATCTCCTCGTTTTTTTTGAGACAAAGAGCGAGAAATCACCCCCAGGAGGGATGGCCACGCCACAATCCCTTCTCCTCTCGTGTTCTTGGGCACGCACGTACACACACACAGTGTGAGTTTAAGCCACTGGGCCCAGGGTTCGAACCGTGGTCGACTACATGGGAGTCCAGCGACATAGCCATGCCATTTTGCTAACTGCTGGTCTCTCACCTCATTTTTTTAGTCAGCTAACTCTTGGGATGAAAACATTGTCCTTAAGGTTCCTTCAAGGAGAACATTAGAACTGTTCTAGTTTTTGAATAGATAATCCTGGGAAAAGAGCCAGTTTCAAAGATAAGTGTCCATAGCAATTCTCAATTGTTGCATGTTCTAATTTACAAAGTAGACATGGTGATGTCTTGTATGTAGTTGAGAACTCTAGATTTGTTCTCTGGTTTCATTTGGACCAACTTCTTGGTTTTAGATCTTAATGACTATTGCAGGATTTTTGTATATAATTATGTACTGATTTTCCATATCATTTGTTTCTTCCTAGAATTTATGAGATTTCTAATACCATTTATTAAAAATAATTATTTAATTTTATTTATCATTATTATTATCTTCCAGTTTGATCAGAGAGAGACAGAAAGAATGGAGAGGAAAAGCGAGAAAGCAAGCTACCAGGTCCGGGACTCAAATCATGGTCAGCCAAGTGGGAGTCCAGTGACTTCAGCCGTCACACCATGTGTGGCCCCAATCCCATTGTTTTGATTTTCTGTCTAGTTAACCTTTCCCTTTTTTTCAAAGTTATTCCATAGAGAAATAAATGGCACTGTTGGCATGTGATGTAAAAGTCTCATAACCAACATAAAAGTTTATAAAACCAAGGGCCAGTAGGTGGTGTGGTAGTTAACGGCACTGGACTCCTCCTACAAGGGTGAATGCAGTTCGGGTCCTGGACCTGGTGTCTTGCTTTTTTTACTTTCTCTCTCTTTTTCTCTGTCCCTGTCTGGTCAAATTAAAGTAAATAGGTAAATAAATAAATAAATTAAATAAAGTAATTGTAAAAAAAAAAGTTCATGAAACTTAGTGTTGAGCTAGTAATGATGTCAGTAGGAAAATAATAAAGCTTTTTGTGTCTGGAACAAAAGTTTAGTTTCATATGTCAGATTTTTAGTTTATTTTGTGGATCTTAAGAAGATACTTTTATTCTTCCCTTATCTTGGTTTTCTTTTAAATACATTTTAATTGCTTCTAACTCCATATTCCTTCCTTTTCTCACAGTCAGTTCCTCCTTCCTTTCTCACTCCCTCCCTCCTTCCCCTCTGCCTGCCTGCTTGCCTTTACTTCTTTTTTCTTTACTGAGAGGTATTATTAAACAAGGTCTGGCCATTGTGATCTTCTGTTCCAGCCTCCTAGTTAGCTATAGTTACAGGAATGTACAGCTTGTTCAAGTTGGTTCTAGATCCGAGTCCAGGCCTCCCATGTGGGAGCTTCACACCACAGTGCCCTATTGCTTATACCACTATGGCTGAGCTCTCAGTTCCATTTTTTTTTTAATTCCACAGCTGCTTTTTCCTGTTGTTAATTGACCTTATTTATGGTGTCCAGAGTTTCTTAAATAACCAGTGGCGACTAAAATGAGACTTTCTCTTTTTCAAATTTGCCTAACTTGTTTTTAAAAATATTCCAACAGAGGGGGCCAGATGGTGACACAGCAGTAAAACACAATGCACACACATGCCCAGCATGTTTTTCAAGCCACTGGGTCTGGGACTCAAACTGGACAGTCAGCCATGTGGGATCCAGTTGCCTAATCTCCATTTTACCTGCTGGCCCATATATTTTTTTAAATTAATTTATAATTTTTTAATTTGACCAGAGAGAGAGG